CCACACAATTTCATACCATTTAAGTCAATATCGATCCAGATCTTTACCAAATGCAATGCCAACCATTGTTTAGTCAATATTGATCCAAATTCAATACCAACCATTGTTCATTATAGGGGTAACCGTATGCATGACAATATCACTAAAATGTTGACCTCTTGAGAGATAAGTTTCTGGAAACCGAGTCAAATAAACGGGTTCGATCGACTCAAAATCCGGACATATGTTGATCGGTCTAATATTATATATTCGAACTCAATTTATTAAATTAAAATAATCAATTTTATTAAGCCTCGTGACCTCGTAAAAATTTTTATTGGGTCATTAAGGCTTTACCCGTCACACATATAGGTGATATATCTACATATAACTCAATATGTATGCTAAATTTATAATAATTCATGTCAGTTTGTATTGTTATTGAAAACGAGGGAAATCACAACAAGAACAACAACAAAATAGTGGACACATATTGGCACCTTCCCCAAAGTGTCTGTCATTTGAAAGACGAAACATAAACATCGATATGTTCTAAAAAACAAACAGACCGTCATAAATGACCATTCACACTCATATCAAAATATTTAGTTTTGTTGTTGTTGCTTTCGATTTTCTTGTCTATGATATCCATCTATAATGTCAGTCGGCCTCAAAATCTATATCTAGGTACTTGTCGTCGTTGTCTTTTTGGCTGTCTGTGTATTTTCTTTTCTTTTTTAGCGATGAGACGTGTTGTCGTTTTCCCCAATAATAATGTAGATAAATATATTTGATTTCTTTTTAATGTGGCTAAATGAAAATCATTTTTATTCGACAATAACGGCAGACAAATACATTGACGAGACCATTGGTCGATCGTTGAGAATTCTGGCGTACTCTTCCCCACAGGCCCTCTCAAAGGAAAATTGAAAAACAAACAAATGTATGCCAGCAAATACAAAACACATACATATGTATACATGTATAAGTACGAAATGGGAAAACAATAACAACAACAGCAATCAAAACACACAAAGAACCAAAAACGCAAAACAAAAACAACAATGACATTGTCACAAATTATACTTTCATCAAGAGAGATGAACCATTTCCCACACATCAGCAGCACCTTAAACACCGAAATGCTTGTCCGATGCTCGACAAGGTGGAACAACAGACATATTCACAACATATCCTTCCACAAAAAAAAAAAAAACAGCAAGAGTACATTTTGATAAAACACCTCAACCTTTCCTCCTATGAGACCCTCCCACCTTCATTGAAATACTCTGCAAAAAATGAGAGTTTTAGAAAAAAACGAGAAAATAATCAGACTGAAAGACAACAACAAGAGAATGGTCAAAAACATAGCCGAAATTCACACCCACAAGTACATATTTATAGAGAACTTATGAATGAGAGGGAGAGAGTAATTAAAATTGATGAGAGTATATCTATTGATTATCTAGTGTCTATTGGCATGTAATTGAATTCATAGATTATATAGAACACCATATTCAATGGAAAATGGGAATCGGAATAGGAAGAAATATATATTGAATTTTCCCAAGCGGATCTATTTGAGTAGATCTTTTATGAACGGAAGTATTCTTTAGGACCTTTTATAAATAGAGTATCTTTAGGTAGTATTCCGTCCAGAGAAGACTTTTACGGATCTTTAATGGGAATTAATGCTTTATGAGATCTGTTTGGATAAAAGATTTTCTCTTCTATGGATAGATCACTTTCAGAAGACCTTCCTTTATCGATAGAAAGATTTCAGAAGGCCTTTTTCTTGGAATATAAGGGCTTCAGAAGGCTTTTCCTGGATAAAATGGCTTCTGGTATTATATGGGTGTATTTTTTGGATAGAAGGATTTCCATGGAAAGAAGAATTGCTTTTATGGGATAAAAACCCTCCAGGTTGTCGTCTATGGAAAAGAACTCGTATGAAGATCATCTATGCATAGAAAGCCTGCAAGAGGTCATCTATGGATATAAGATCTTCTTCAGCTATCTGTGTATAGAAGGCCTTTAGGGAATCTGTCATGGATAGAATAACTTCAGGAGGGCTTATATTGATAGGTCTTAAGTAGGCCTTCTATGAACAAAAGACAGTCAGAAAGTTCTCTATGAATAGAAACCCCTCATGAGTTCTTCTCTGGACATAATACCGTCAGTAGGTCTTTTGTTGATCGGAGACTTTCTTCAATATCTTCATGAATAAAAGACTTCATGAATAACATAACTTTCAGGTTAAGTTATGTTCTGTAGGGCTTCTATGGATAGAATATATCCCGGAGATCGCCTATGAAAAATCGACCTACTAAGAATAACAATATTCAATTCAATCTTCTCAGACTTTCAGGTGGTGTTTTATTGAATACCTTCGTGAAGTTTTTTTATGGATAGTAAAACTTCCGGAGGCTTCCTGTGGATAGAATACATTCAGAAGGTCTTGTGTGAATGGAACACCTTCAGAACGCCTTCTTTGTATGGAAGACCGTCAGAAGGGTTTCCTGGGATAGAACCGCCTCAGGCGGGCTTCTATGGATAGAAAATATATCAAATATATTCTATGGTTAGAATATTCTCATGGGACCGTATATAGAATATGCTCATAGATGTTGTCTATGGATAGGAAACCCCCAGGCCCTCAGAGTGTCTTCGATGGATAGCAGCCCTCAGAGTTCTATGGAAAGAACCTCTTCAAGAAGTCGTTTATAGAACCCTCAGAAGATCTTCTATACTAATCACTTAATAAAAATATTGTAAAGCCACTCATCCGACATCTGTTAAAATTATTCCAGTGACAGCTTATTATATATTTTACAAACGTACAAAAGCATTTTGGTGAGAATTTTCCAGAAAAAAAGTTATTCGTGATGCAATGCAAGCGTGATAGTGTTATTTCTTTATATTTGGCTGGAAAACCACAAGTGGCTATCGTTAGAGCATTCCAGCATTTAAATATGAATAATTTTATTGTGTCTCGTACTATCGTTCCAAGAAAACAGCGACATCAGCAGAAATGGTTCGAAAAGGAAACCCGCGTCGCAGTGGCCGAAAAATGGCTCGCGAGCTGAATATATCGCAATATTTCATTCGGCAAATACTGAAAATTGAGCTCGGGGTAAAGTCATTGAAATTCCAACAGGTGTAAGAACTTGCACCGCAACAGAAAGAAAATAGACTCAAAAGAGCTAAAGAGTTGCTTTGCTTGGTCGAAAGTGGTGAACTGCCGAATTTGGTTTTCTCCGATGAGAAAACATTCCTTGTCCAGCAGTTTGTAAACAAACAAAATGATTGTATTTACTTGCCAAAGAGTTCAGCTGAAAATGTGCACCTTCGGTTGGCCACCAGAACTCAAGCGCCGGCCATAGTTATGGTGTTAGCCGCCATAACAGCCGATGGTCGCTCTCCGCTCGTATTAATCGACCGTAGCATCAGAATAATGCTGAATATTATCGCGAAAATATTCTGGAGGGTGTATTAAGGCTTGGGCACGCAAAAATTTTGGCCGCAGACCTTGGATATTCCAACTTCGGACATTCCAACACCACCCCACTCAGCACGTGCCACACAAAATTGGTTACAAAATGAGGTTCCTCGCTTCATTTCCAGCGCACATGGCCACCAAAATCTCCGGATACCAATCCGTTTAACTATTGTGTCTGGAGTATTTTGGAAAGCAAGGTTGGCACTAAAAATTAAAAAAGTGTCGATAACCTCAAACAAACGGGAAAAGGCCAAAATACCGCTGAGAAACATTCGGGCAGCGTGTGATGGTTTCATTGGCCGTTTGAAGGCCATAATTCGTGCCAAAGGTGACCAATTTGATGCTATTTCCGAATTTTTTTTGCTTTCTTTCAATAAAATTTTAAAAATATGTAAAAATTATGACGTTTGACTTTGTTGCAGTTTTTTTATCTCACCCTGTATGTATGTATGCATTTCCAAAAAAAAACTCTCTTATTTTACCCTTTTTCAACCTCGTGTAGAATTTCTCCCGTCCAACCTTAATCGATAAAATAATAAAAACATTGTACCTTTCAAAAACTTTGGAATCGTTAAAGTGCGACTTTCCAAAAAATCGCGTCTTATCTTACAAAGAAAGCCCCTTATCTGCTGTTTCCAAACGTGCCATAACAATGTTTTAAATTTTAGTACCCTTGAAGTACGAATTTCCAAAAATCTCTTTATATATCAAACCCGATTTGGAAAGAGTAAATATTAACACTTTTGTACCCTTAAAGTACCGGCGCGCATGGTGTGTCCCTTACGCAGCACTGCTCAAAACCGTGTGCTAGCACATGAGTCCCAAAAAGAAAGAGAAAACAAAAATTCTATTTTTCTTTAATTTTATCCATTGATATCAATCGTTTTCAAACTTGGATGTTGTACAAAATTATTAAATGTTAAATTATATTTTAACACTGATTTTTTGATGATTTAAATAAAAAAAAATCAAAAGAAATTGGTCTGGATTTTGAGCAGCGCTGCATATGTAACAATTCGCAGCTCTCGGTCTTCCGGTCGCTGTAGGCAAGAGATTTACCATGAATTTCAAAAACTCCCCCTTACACCGCCGCTTTGCATCATTAGTTACTTTTATTAAAATTTCTAGATTTTCCCTCGCATTTAGTACTGTTGGTACCTTTTTAGGATCCAAACTGGAGGAATTTTTGAACTCAACTTTAAAATTTTTATGAAAAACATCAAAATTTCAAAATTATATTTCCTACAGCTTTAAAAGTGTAAATTCTAAACATCATGTAGGCGAGTAAATATAAACGTTTTGAAGATTCCAATAGATATCTATATTCGATCATTTAGTCTCTTTTTATATTCAATGTCTGTCGCTCACTCTTTCTCTCTCCGAGAGCGCAATCGTATTTGCTGTTTATTACATTTTCAAAATAAAAAATAATATACGAAAAATCGCGAGAAAAATAAGAACACAAATCTCGACTGACTGACTGCCTGCCTGAATACAATTCAAGGGCAATGAAAATTCAACATTTTCTTTTCAGTTGTTGGCACACCGACGAATGTGCTGCTGCGTCTGGCTATCTGCCCCAAAATCATTTCTAATTCGCAAAAAAAATCGACTGAAAAGAACGCACTGTGTATTTCACTAACAACGGACAAGTCGTCGGGATGCGTGTGCTGTGAAAATATCGCAAAATTTCGTAAAAAAAAATAAAATTTAAATAACAAATATCAAAATATGAAGATCGGTGTTGACTGAAAATTCGGAAAATATGCCATGTTAATAAGGTGAAACATGAAAATAACAAGCGAGCATTGCGCGAGTGTAAAAAAACAAGAATATTTATTTGTAAAAAATATATATAAATATTATTTTTTATTTTGATTTTGAAAGTTCAAGTTCAATAACAACAGTTTTTAAAAAACATAAAGAATAATCTACGAAATCAGAAATTTGTTGTAATTTGTCCATTGAAATCGTGTGTGTGTGTTACTTGGCGGTCTTGCTTGGCAAGCAAACGCCTTCTGAATTAAACAAAATATATATATTTAATATTTATAGAAATTATTTTTGTTTTCGTTGCACTAAACTAAAATTCTAACTGCATGTCAAAAATTTGAGTGACATTAGTTGTCAATTATTAAAAAGAGAAACAAGCAAAACAAGGATACAACCATTTAGACTAACAAGACAAGCTACAAATTATCAATTGACCAGCAAATCATGGTGACAACACCTCTTTGGGATTTGCCCATGATAGTGATCGTGATGTTGATGATGACAATGATAAATTTATAAAGCGTGTGAATGGTGTATTCTTTGTATTAATTTGTACAATTAAATTGTAAAAAAATGAATTAAAATTAATTAAATTTTTGCCAAAAATAAAAATTGAAAAAAATAACTAAAACATGGAGTGAAAAAAAGGCCTATAGCAAAATAGAAATTTGGAAGTTCAATATTTAAAAAACTTAAAATCTATGCCTTGAAGCTGTGAATTACTCAAGAAGGGTATTATGATCTTAACTTTAACTTTGGTCCGACAAACCTATTGGAACCTTAAATTAGCCAAAAAGGATTACATCTGTGTTATTGACAACGGATTATAATAAGCGAGTAAAATAAATCCCAACTTCAGATGAAAAGATGGGGAAATGGCTTTTACCCATAATCGAACTTGTCATATTCCAGGTCTTTTAAGTAGTGGCTGTTGTGTGGCATTATTACCAAAGTTAACGATATCCATATCTTATTTGAGAACAAAAAAAATATATATTTCAATATGAAAATCAAGATCCAACTAAATTTCAGAAAGAGTTCATTCTGTTTGCAAAACCTCCAAATATTTGGCAGATACCTCAAGTTGATTAATGATTACAAAACTAAGTCAAAATTTCCAAAAATAGATATAAATTCTACAAAGTGCTCACATAAGCGAAAATTCCAAGTTCAAGATCCATTCAAATGGTTCTTATTAGGACTTTTTAGTTCTGCATAATGCATAATTTGTTCAGTTAGACAACATTTTGTAATCAAAACTTCATATATCGTACTAAATCCTCAATGTTCGGAAAGAATAATAAGAAAATGTTTCCCTTTTATTAGCAAAACCACTGCACAATGGACCCACATCCAATTTTTCTGTCTAAAACTATTTCAACGGATCCATATGTAAACCCTAGAAAGGAACAGCGATCTCAATATCAAATTTCACAATTGTATCCATCCAATAGCAAATATATGGTATTATTGTGCTGAATGGTACAATTTCATACAATTATAGCACACTTTTCCGAAAACACTTCTATATGTCCACGCTACACATGAACAGCGACCCTAATACCGAATTTCAGATATAAAGCACTATATGATCACCAAATACTAAATGGACCCAAATATAGTACTATTTAGTTATTTTTGCGCACTTGTTGCACACATTTCAAAAACCACCTCATAGGCCTACCAGAATTTACAACCTTCGGTTTTCGGCAAACCCTTTTTGTTCGCAACAGTGATAGAGTTTCGACTTTTTGCCGCCAAATAATAACTGCTTATTTCAGGTAGCATGTCATGATTTTTATACCCTCCACCTTGGAAAGGAGGGTATGTTAACTTTGTCATTCCGTTTGTAACATCCCTAAATATTCATCGTAGACCCCATAAAGTATATATATTCATAATCAGCAGTCGATTTAACGATGTCCGCCTGTCCGTCTATTAAAATCACGATACAGCCCACATTATTTAACGTAGAGCGTCAAAATTTAGCAGAACAGTTTGTATTGTGCCTAAGATGGTTGATTTTGTCCACATATTATTACAGATTTGTATAAAAATTGGGATTTGTAGGTCATAATGGGTTCTTGCTCATGTGGAGAAACATTGTTTGTATAGGCCCACGTTTTGGTATAGCCCCCATATAAGGGTACCTCCCGATATTCGGTATTTTATGATTTTTGCCACATTTTCCCATGAGTTTGTCGAAAAATTAGAATTTGTTAGCCATAATGTGTTCTAGCTGCGATGGCGAAGCATTGTTTGTATAGGCCCACGTTTTGGTATAGCCCCATATAACGCTGCCTCCCGATATTCGGTATTTTGATGATTTTTGCCACCTTTTTTCACGGATTTGTCTAAAAATTGGTATTTGTAGGTCATAATGGGTTCTAGCTCCGGTGGCGAAATATTGTATGTATAGGTTCACGTTTTTTGTATAGCGCAATATAACGGTACCTCCTGATATTCGGTATTTTGATGATGGCGAAACATTGAATATTTAGGTCCACGTTTTCCTATAGCGCACATAAACCGGTACCCACCGATATTCGGTATTTTGACAATCCTAGTCACATTTACCCATGAAATTGTTTCAAATTTGGTATTTTAAAAAATTTTTAAAGATGACAATCCTTGAAGTATAATATTGTCTGTAGAAGTTCCCATTTTGGTATGGGCCCACATAACAACCTCACTCACTTTATGGTTTTTTAATAAGTTTAACTAAATTATGCAAAAGGTCTTACTGGTATTTGTAGTTTAAAGGGAAGCATGCTTTAATTCAGATACTTTTATATACAAAAATGTTTCCTTAACCCCAAGGTGGAGGGTATTAAAAGTTTGGCCCAGCCGAACTTGTTAAATACTTACGACAGACAAAATTTGGTTAGGAAACTCATTATTTGGAAAAGTTTTTGTTTATTTCTCTTTAGAGAAATATTTGAGTCAATTTTTCAAAAAAAAAAAAAGGGAAAATATTTGCATTTTTTTTTTTTTTTTTTTTTTTTGCTGTAAACCTCAGATTAAACCATTTATCTAAGTAGAAGACTCTTTTATGAAATTATTTAATTAAATTAAACCCGAAAAGAGTTTGGGGTTCTTTGGCCAAAAGTAGTTATAACCCTTCTATAGTTTAAGACATATTTCGTAACATTTAAGATAGAACTTTGATATTTGATAGAGATTTTTGGATAACATCTAGAATCATTGGTATAGAAAATAATATAAAGTATGTTTCTAAAATGCACGGATTATTGAAACATCTTAACATCTTGCACTAAATAGGTAAATATTAATAAAACATATGAACTACAATAAAACATAACCTGAGACTCATAGGGATGAGGGTGTGATAGTGTCTATCTGGCTTTCCTTTTCACTGTTAATTTTTAACATTCCTGTGAAGGTCTCTGCAACATATACTTCATGAAGTACAACATTTTTATTTACACAATGGTAACAATAACAAATATATTCAACTCATTTAAAAATTTAGATCTTAGAATTGTTTACGGAGAAGCAACGTTACAACGAAAATTCTTTTATAAATACAAACCGTTTGGTTATTAATAAATGAATAGATTTATTTCTTACACCCGCACTACTATGTTATTGGGTTTAAATAAACATTAAATCCCGTTATTTGGCCCATCACTTTTCAGTCCACATTAAAATATATACACAAAAAAATATATATACACAAATATTTATCTTCTAACGAACTTAAATAAAAAATAATAGAAAATAAAATCAAAGAAAATAATCTAAAAAGAAATGTTGATCTCTATTTATAAAAATCTAGAGTGAAAGAAAATAATATAGCGGTGACATACAATAGTATAAAAACAACAAAAACATCAAATAAAATATAAGCAAAAAAAAAAAAAAGAAATAAAATATATATCAAAAAGAAAAAAATAAATAAGAAAGTGTATCGCTCTTGTGTGTGTTTGTGATATTTGCCAAAAAGCAATAAAATATTTCAGAAATTTGAAAATATTTTCAAATTTTTGTGAAAATGTCTTCGACAGCAACATCAGCGGCCGCAACGGCCAACCAGCAGAAATCTTCCTCAGACACAGATAGCAGCAACACAACAACAGCAACGGCCGGAAATAAAACAAAGTGCAAATACACGAAAACCAAGGAGCGCATGGTTGAAGGTAAACAAAGAAATATATATATAATTTTTTTGTTTTCAAAATATCTCACCACCCCACGTATCGGAAAGCTAACTAACCCAACTTTATCTATTACAATCTCAATAAAATAGCCTCCTGTCTGAAATTAATGGACTAACAATAAATTTACTTTTAACCATTTGAATCTCGTGGCATTGTTATATTAAACATTCCCATTGACCGCTTGGTTTGTTTTGTGGGTGTGGGGGGGTAGAAGAAGAGTCATTAGCATTGGCATTGACATTGCCATCTCCTGAAGATTTTCACCTCATTTCATTATGGCGAGGACAGACAGCTGAACTTGGTATGTTCGGCTGAATTAAATCAACAAGTGTTCCAATTACTTTGATATATAAATACATGGATGATGGTATTTGAAAAGTGGGAAAAAACTATTTCATTCATTACAGCATCCGGCAGATTCGGTGAATGGCCTTGTGGCGAAATATTTTTTAACCAAAACATAAAATAAATAAAGTTAAATGTAAACAATAGTTTGAACTCATTTAGTTGTAATAAATTTTAAAATGTAAAAAATACAAACTCTGCAGGAACATAGGTATTTTAAGAATATGAGCTTGGACATAAATTCCGACGCGTCAAGGGTAAAATATAAGAATAATGTTATAAAATGGTATATTAAATAATAAAGAGAGAGGCTTGGAATATGTATCAAAACCTGTAAAATTACTAAATTCTAGGTCCACACTTGGGATTCTAACGTTATGTTGGGGCTATTTCAAATTCTCGACCTACATTGACGATTTTTTTGACCTTGCTTTCCAAAATACTCCAGACACAATAGTCCAAGGCATTGGTATCCGGAGATTTTCGTGGCCATTGTACGCTGGAAGTGATTTTGTAACCAGTTGGAATGTCCAAAGTCTGCGGTAAAATGTTTGTGTACCCAAGGCTTTAAAACAACCTCCAGAATATTTTTGCGATGATATTCGACATTTGTTCTGATGCCACGGTCGATTTTTCATTTTTCAATATTTGCTGAATGGAATATTGCGATATGTTCAGTTCACGAGCCATTTTTCGGCCACTGCATCGCGGGTTTCGATCAAGTCGCTTCTTTACTTTTCGAACCATTTGTGCTGATGTAGCTGTTGTCTTCCGTCCACTTCCTTGACGTCGGGTACGCTACCAGCGATGGTATGAGACACAAAAGATTTATTCACATTTAAATGCTTGAGTTCGTGGATCCGGGTCTAGCCCGGGTATTTAACCCGGACATTCGGGTCAAAAATCCGGCATCCGGGTAAGCCCCCCCCCCAAAAAAAAAAAAAAAAAAAAAAAAAAAAAAAAAATATATATATATATATATATATATATATATATATATATATATATATATATATACTAGCTGGCCCAGTCCGCGTTGCCGGCCCGTAGATTTAGTCTTTAATGCAAATTTTGTATAGCATAATATTTCACAAATCTAGCTCATAAAGGTGAACAAATTTTAATATAAATATTGATCCGACTAAATAGAAATAAATACCTATGGAAGGAGGGCAAAATAATTTCGGAATAGTTAAAGTTAATTACGCTTTTACACCCACCCCCATAGCACCTCAAATTGCGCATTAGAGTGCCCAAAAAGTCTATGTCCTTCTTCACAGCAGTTCATTCAATCACGATTAATCAATGCCCGTGTTGTTGTCCGCCAATCGGTAAAAATCACTATAGATTGGCGACCCTGGGGACTATATGGATCCAAAATAATTACGTGTGTTGGCATTTTTCTGTAAGATGGTTCTCTACTCACAAAGTAGCCTAAATACAACAAAATAGATTTGTAAATGTGGTCAAGACCCTCGAAATATAAAAGCCAAGATGCCAAATAATGGTCAAATCAGTTGGAAAACGTGGCCAAGACCACGGTCATAGCTGAAATCAGAGATACGTTCATATGAGGGTTATACCAAAACGTGGCCCAACCAATATTCTCTTGGGGGTTACAAATTCAATAGAATACAAAATTTTCATTTCTGACCACACATTAGATGTGAAAGTGGACTTGGGGATACTTCAATGTGGGGACTTTACTTAAATAAATTCCTATGTGTGATGGTTCTCTACCCCAGGGTAGCATAAATACAATTTTTAGCCAAATCAATTATGCCAAATAAGGGCCAAAATATAAAAAACATGGCCAAGACCTCAAAAATAGCTTAAATCATACGATGGTTATATAAATATGAAACCGGGTTGTACCCTTATCCGTGAGTTATGATCGATATCATGACCTGGAAAAGCGATTTAAGGTATCTTAAATGTTTGAGAAGAATTTCTGGAACGATAGAAATCCTTTTCTTACTAAAAGTCCCATTCGCTCTACTATTTTGCACGCTTTACATTTGGTATTTTACTGATTGTACTCCCAAAGAATTTTGCATTTCGAGCTCTCATTGGACGGATTATTGTCACATGAAAGAAGTAGACCCACACTTTGAAATGAGCCCCATTAGGCTTTTTCGGTCATTTTTGTTTGTTTAAATGTGTTCGCATCTTCCAGATGAACCACGATGTAGGCCCTGGAGTTGAAATGTAGATGTCAATTAACCTAATATTTCGCACTTATTTCATTTTTTGTGAAAAATTGTATATAGTAATAAATTACTCCTTTTTTTGTTCACAAAAAATTCACTGATCTTCTTCAAATCTTCAATTTGTTCGCGGATTTTTATACAGTAAATGTTTAAAGATCCTTACAAAGTTTGTCAATAGAATGTACTCATCTCAGGATTCTGGATGAGAGACAAATATTTCGCAATTTATGATTTTATGAGACATTTGTTTCGCAATTTATGACAGATAAAAGTATTGAAAATGTTGTCCCTTTGTAAGTGAGGTACCAGAAGGGGTTCACAGATATCTATCATCTTCACAACAGATCTTGTGTTAGCAAAAATGTTTGTATGTGTGAAATTTGAAGAGACTTGGATGCTCATTTCGCTATTTTTGAGCGTTATGTTTATCAAAATTTTGAACCCTATGTGGGGCAGGTAGCAAAAGGAATGGTCCGATCTCTACCATCTTTATAACAGATCTTGTGTTGATGAAAATATTGAGATGTACCATGTCTGGAATGGAATCGGATGTTGATTCCGCTTTTTATGAACTTCATGGATATTCAAAATTTTGAATAACTCTCCCTTCGAGAGTTAACGTGCGCACCAGCCAGCCAGACAGACAGACGGACATCGCTAGATCGACTCAAAATGTTCTGAAACGGATTTGGTCCAAAGATACCTGGGGTCTAAAACCATTATTTCGACTAAGCACGTTTTGACCGTATCAAATTGTATATACCCTCTGTAGCCATATGGCTGAGGGTATTATTATGTATGCATGGATTTTCGTATCTCGGGGTTGTCCAGGGGTAGAAATGGACCAAAAACAGAAAAAATTCAGAATTTTCAGTTGTCACAATTATAGACCAATCGACTCGGAGTTAGAATTTAGGGCTGGACAGAAGCTTGCCCTATTGTATGGTTATAGGACAATATTTAGCGGGTAAAATAATATTCCATAACTTTTATGCACAAAAAATACCAAAATGTCCACTAAACCGCGAATATTTAAAGGTCACTTTTGACCACTAACAAACTACGTACAATCTATGTGTGAAAGAAATTTATGTTAGTTATTCCGCCTATAAGTCAAGAACCTCTGGACAGATTTTGGAAATTCTTAGCAACTCGGAATAGTCTCTTGCTAGAAAAGGATTAAATCTAAGAAAATCGTGTAAAAAAATAACACGAAAAAAGTGAATATTTTTTGTCACATTTTGAATTGTACATTTTGCAAAGTTTTTTAACATCCTACAACAGGGTATAATATACAATTACAATTATCGTCTGATCTTCAAGAAATTTAGCATTGAGTGTCAGTTTTGAAGCCTATTGTTTTTGAAAATGTACATTTAGAAGTTCAAATGGATAAACGAAGAAATTTTTTTCCGATTTTGCAGTCGCTCTACAGGTCACAATCAAAAACGAATCGACACAAAATTTTGCATGAGGAGAGAGTTAAGGACAGGACAGAAGTCTAGCATTTTGTATGACGATTGAATTATATTTAGCGAATAAAATGGGCCACAACTTTCGTGTGAAATTGTTTTGAATACCTATCAGCACAACAGGGAGCGTAAATATAGAACAAAATCTCCAGGGCAAAAACCAAAGGTGACATTTGTGCCGAGCTGGCATTAATCTTATACCAAGAACGGCTTTACCCCCAAAACCTTTTTTCAATATTTATAAATTCCTTAAGTTGAGGTCATTCAGCGTTCTAATGCATTCGATGCCCATAGTAAAACTTTACGGCAATTAATTGTGTAGAATATTTTGAATTGTTACGATTTTGTTTTAAAGGATTTTGAAGCATTTTTGACCAAAAAAACCTCTTTGGTTATTCGCTGGAGAATTAAAACTTTCGTCAGTAATTTTATCAGATAGGCATTTCTTGAAATCTCAATCCAATCACCTTTAACATCGGGATTCCATCTTAGTTTTCTTAATTAGAATGTTGGCTATTGACGTAGGGCTCGTCTGTTACGTAACCCCATTAAAAATGTTGAATCACTAGACCTCAAGACCAATTGTGATCACCTATTCGAGAGATAACACGGTACGGCTGTGCGCGATTTTCACAAATGTTTTGTTTAGGGAAGTATTCTGTCACTCTGGAGCTTTGATCAGACATATTTACTATTTACTTATTATTTGTTTTTTTTCAGTAGGTAACACCTGTACGACGAGATAGGACATCTCATCTCACTTGGAGTTACAGAGGTATACGATTTTGGCAATATCCAAAAAAAAAAATAAAATCCGTTAAAAATTCTATTCAAATCTTAAAAATGCTGAATGTAGCCGTTATATTAGGGTCTATACGATGACGTTTATCTGCAGTGGCAACTGCAGTGGCAACTTTTGTAATAAGCAACTTTGTAATAAAAAAAAAATCGT